TATATAAGTATCTAACAAGGTATCATGCCAATAATCTGCCTGTATGTCCACCTCTAACTAGTTAATAAAATATTCTGCCAATAATCTGCCTGCATGTCCACCTCTAACTAGTTAACAAAATATTCTGCCAATAATATGCCTATATGTCCACCTCTAACTAGTTAATAAAATATTCTGCCAATAATCTGCCTGCATGTCCACCTCTAACTAGTTAACAAAATATTCTGTCAATAATCTGCTTGTGAGCTAATGTCTAACAAACGTAACAAGCTGGTCTGCTATAAGTCTACATATCGGGCTACGCTGTATATCCTTCCTACCTCAGGTGTTACCTACTTATAGACTACGGCGCTCTTCACTCTATCACTCTTACCTCATAGTTTCAACTGTTCTAGGTACTAAAGAACGTTCAACGTCCTCTGCTATGTTAGATGTTATCTATATTAGTTTAGACGTAAAAGTTAACACTGCATGAGCTGTGGAAAGCTATACTTTAGATACTCTGTTTACCCTGTGATTTGTTTGTTATTGTAGTTTTTAGCTCTAACAGTAGAATGACAATTCTAGTAAAATAAAGATAAATTTAATACAGGCAATAAGGGAACATTAAAACAGAACCACATAATTTAGCATTATGGAAGTTAATCTATATAATTTAATGAATATTTTAAGACATCGTTTTGTACTACTTAAAACTTACCCTTTTGAAATGAAATACAATAAATGATAAAAACATTGTCTCAGAAGATATCAGTATTGTTTGAATTAATTGTACAGAAACAGAACATTAATCAAAATGTCAGAAAATAAAAATCTTTCGTTGCCTAGGTAGTGCCTCATCACTATCATAAGTTAGTTTGCTTGTGTATTTTAGAGCAAAACCACACTGAGCAATCTGCTGTGTCCACCACGGGGAATCGAACCCCGGAGATTAGTGCTGTAAGTCCATAAACTTAATGTTGTCTCACCGGGGGGACCATAAGTTAGTTAAAACTCGATCAATCTTTTTTTTTCTTATCTTTTTCATTAAGGTTTCTTTTAAATCAATTGTAGACTGAATGGTATCAAAATAAGAAAATAAAAACATCATACGTTAGTTAAACTCCAGAAACGTTGTTTTTTGTTACCTTACTGATTAAAGTGTCTTTCTTTTATTAATTGTGATCTAAATTATAACAAAATAACAGAAAATGGAAACCTTGTAGTAACACATGAGCATCATAAATCAATTAAAACTCGAGGAATTTTGTTTTTCTTATCATAATGATTAAAATTCTTTTAATTAGTTGTAGACTGAATGGTATCAAAATCTGAAAATATAAACCTTTCTTTGTCTAGGTAGCGCCACGCAACATTATAAGTCAGTTAAAACTCGAGAAATATTGTTTGTTTGTTGTTGATTTTCTTGTCGTAATGATTTATCTATCATTTTGTATAGAATAACTAGGTCGGAATTTTCTGGAAATGTATCCCTCTCCCTCTCAATAGCTCAGCGGTAAGTCTGCGGAATTGTAACGCTAAAAATAGAATTTTGATACCCATGATGGGCACAGCACATGTAACTCATTAGGTAGCTCTGTGCTCAACTACAAACAAACGAATTGGAAATATAAATATTTTCATGTTTTTAGAAAATAGGTGTTAACGCACGCTATCTTAAAAAAAAAAGATAAATTAAACACCTAAAAACTGATCTTAAAAACTGTTAAAATTAATTTAGGCTTCGACAATAGTCATTTAATTTTACTATTAATGGGGATTGGGAGACGCTAGGCCTACGTTATATTTTGATGTACTGTGTATGTGACGAGACAATAATTATGTACATACAGTTTTCTTTCGAGTATATTCTTCATGTGTTCAGTGAATAGGTTTTCAGTTACGCTAACATTAGCTGGCCAGATCCGATTGGCATGTGTCCTGTAACGTTTAGTTTAAAAGAACATAAGCTTAGGAAAATACTTAATGTAAAAACAAGTATACTTTAAAAAAAAGTTTAGATGTAACAGTTTGTTACTATATTAATTACCCAATCATAAACGACACAGACACGTGCAAATACTTTTTATTAAAAACATTTAAGATGAAATAATCAGACACATGAATGCTGATATTACACACTACACAAAATTAAATTAATTATTTTGCATGTTTACATATAAATCAACTATGTAAGCATATGTCAGTGTTCCATGAACGAG